TCTGCAGCTTGAGTTCTTTATCCTCATCGCAGATTTTTAAAATGAGGATGACACGAGCTGTTGGAGGAGGAGGAGAGAATAGGGATCAGAACCACAAACAAGGCAGGCTGATTCTATAAGCCTCTAGCTGGTCTTGCTATGGTAGCATTCTGGTTTCCTCCAGTTTCTGGAACAGCACATAGAGAGCAGTTGGAGACTTGATTATTTCTGTACCCCATTTTCTTATGAAAAAAAGGTTTTTAATGTAGCATTAGCCTTCCTAATCCAGGGCCCAAAAATCTCTACAGGTGATTGACATTATACTCTACAGCTACCTGCCATTCATTATAATAACATGCTTGTGGTAATTATGTTTTACTAATTTTTTTAGTCTGTTGGAAGTTTTTAGAGGTATATTTATCTAGTGAATTCATTTTTTGTTTGGGGGGGCTCACATTTAGTGGTGCTCAATGGATACTCCTGACTATTCTTGGAGATCACTCCTGGCAGTGCTCAGGAGTCTATATGATGCCAGAGATCAAACCCGGGTCTCCTTCATGAAAAACCAGTGCTCCAGTCCATTAAACTATCTTACCAGTCCTAACAGTATATTTTATAAAATAGGAATCAGATATGAACTGCTATGAATATTTAGTTGGGAAAAAGAGGGAAAATAAGTTATATAAAGAGAAATTATCAGTAACTTAATTGCAAAGATTTATAATTTACCAAGAAACTGGAATGCTTTTTGGATTACACCCAGCGATGCACAGGGGTTACTCCTGGCTCTGCACTCAGGAATCACCCCTGGAAGCACTCAGGGGACCATATGGGATGCTGGGAATCAAACCCGGGTCGGCCGCGTGCAAGGCAAACGCCTTCCCCGCTGTGCTATTGCTCCAGCCCTGGAATGCTTCATTTTGATAAAAGAACTAACTTAAGAATTGTAAAGCCCAAACCAAAGCTTGGGTTGCTCTTAATGAATTACTACTATTGGCAGTGGAGTAAATGCCTAGTCTTATCTGCTTGCTAGTAATGGAGGTTTACAGTGATGGATATCTAAAACCTATATAACCAAAACCTATGCAAGTATGAAAATTACAAACTTATGTAAAATATGTTCAGAAATCATCTAAGCATAGTTATATCTGCTTTCATATAATAGATATAAATAAATATGTTGGTTAAAATGTTGAACTGTAGATTCAGTTAAAAGTTGTAACTACAAAAGGGATTTAAGTCTAAGTTGCTATATAAAGGCATTTGAACCCTGTTTTACAGTCAGTAGGGAGAACTGGTTACTCTGTTCTTCTGTCACACTATTTTCTCTTCCAGCAGATAGACACAGACAGTGAATGAGAATAGTAGTTAACTAAATCAATGTATTTGTGTATGTATATAAAATGGCATAAAAATCTTAAGCTCTGGAATGTAGCCCAGCAGTAGAGCATTTGTACTGCATGTATGAGGCCTAGGTTCAACTTCTCATACTCCACAAAAAATATATTATGCTGACACCCATATTCCTATGATGACAGCCTTGTCAATACTCAAAGCAACTTCATCTACCAAAAAAAAAAACAAACAAACCTCCAAATACTGCATTCTCAGACTATGGCAGTCTGTTTTTCCACTTTTCCTATGCTCAGTTCCACTAACATTGTTTACCTACCTTATGGAGTTTTCTCTCTTAATATGCTTAAATTATCAATAGTCTTCTAGTCTCACTTCCCTTCCAGTCCAGCACAAACCAGATGACTCCATCTAGGGAGAAAACATAAAGACAGAAGAAGTTGTCACTGTGCTCCTGTTGTTCGTTGATTGCTCCAGCAGGCCCAGTAACGTCTCATCATGAGACTTTGTTGTTACTGTGTTTGGCATATCGAACATGTCATGGGTAGCTTGCCAGGCTTTGCCTTGCAGGCAAGATACTCTCAGTACCTTGCTGGGCTCTCCGAGACGGGCGGAGGAATCGAACACAGGTCGGCCATGTTGGCTGCGTTCAAGGCAAATGCCCTACACGCTGTGCTATCACTCCAGCCCGTCAGAAGAAGTTATTCTGAGGAATTCTTTATAGTTGGCAAAGGGAGAATAAGCCATTAATAGGAGTGATAAGATGAGGACAATGGGTACAAAGAAAACCTGGAGATATAAGGTGCAGAAAATAATTCAAAAAGTAACATGTGATCAACTATATCAAATGCTGTTAAGGGATCTAATATAATGAGAACTCAAAGTGTCTATTGCTCTTGCTAAATGAAAGGTACAAAGGACAGAGGGCTATTTTATTAGGGAGTTGAAGACTTCCAGAAAGAGGGCATTAAGTAGAATTTATGTTTAGAGACTGTAAATCTAGATAACTCTTCTTTAAAAATTGGCTAAAGAGAGAAAAGGGGTCAAGGTGGTATTGCTTAGTTTGTTTTTTTTTTCTAAATGTGTTTTTGACAGAGAGAGAATGATTTTTAAAACCAATATGGAGAAGTGTATTTAAATGCTGATGGGAAGAGATCATTAAGAAGTGTGTGTGTGTGGGGGGGGGGGGGGGTAGGCAGGGCTAAGGAGAAGGCTCAAGTGGTTGAGCACCGACCTTGTCTGTGTGAAGCTTGAGTTCAATTCCAGATACTGGATCACCACCATCACCACCACCACCACCACAAGCACTGCAGGGTATGAAGCCAACGTTAACAACACACAACAACATGATGATAATTTAAAAGAAAAATAGAAGACTATGGTGGTAAAATGTTTTAAGAGGAGAGGAGATGAATGGAGAATATAAGTGGCATAATGGGGCTTAGAGTAGAGATTCATATATTATTACAGAATGACAGAAGAAATTTTATAAGATCCAGTTAATTAATTTGCGGAGATAGCTAGAGTTGATTCTATGAGTTTATCAGTTACTTTTTATGAAGGGAATGGGCTACCAAAAAAAATGGGAGATTGGAGAACCATGAGGATTTGAAGTTGGCATTGAGAAAAAGATCGAAAATTGGAGAAAGACTTACTTAAATTGTTAAGCAATGATAAGGATCCACTTGAATTTAGGTTTGCTGAATCAATTTACCTTGCTATACGCATATAGCCTCTAGAAGAGCTCAGTCATTCTAGCGTAGAGAAGACAAAGCTGGTTATGATTTTGCTAGGTGGATGGCAAAAGGAGGTTTAGGAAACAAAAAGGAAAATGACTGTAAAAGATGAACTGTAAAATCTAAACCAGCTATGGAAAAAAGTGGGGAAAAGATGGATGAAAAAAAGTATATAGACCAATAGATTAGACATCAGGAGGAGAACAAATAGAAACTGCTAATTGGCCAAATCACAGCAAAAATTAATGTAATCAGAATGTTTGGAATATTAAAAGTATTTAAAAGGCCCAGGTGTGTGAAGTGCTAGAGTGTAATGAAAATCTTTAACAATGAGGGTACAGAGAAGCCAAACATTCTCCAGTGCCTCAATTTGATTCCTCATATACTAATTTTTTAAATATTTTTATTATTTGTCATGTGTTTACCTGGAATCAGTGATTATGTGTAATTGGAGATTATGGTTTTCGCTTTCTTCAGCTTGAAAAAGAAACTCTCCTTGGGCTTTTGCTTGAACAATTTGGACCCTACATGTCCCTTGAATTCATTCTTGCTGCTCTATTACTAGCTTCTCCTTTATTCAGCCTTATCAGAGCTGGCCTGAAACACTACACTACCTTCAAATTTTGTCTGTCTAGGGTCTGTATTCTCTAAGTTTCTATAAAGGCTGTTTTACTCATATACAAATATAGTCATATTTCTCTCCTGATTAAAATGCTTAACTTTTTTTATAACAAAAAATAAAAGTCCTAAACTAGGCATATTTTCGACATCTCACATTATGTCTCATAATAGTTCTTTGGTTACTAAATGTACTCCATTTTCTTCACAGTATCCACATATGTATTCAATGTGCTATACATAAAATATTCAAATTACTTTAGGAAATCTTTGACCAATGTTATTAAGCAGAACCAAAGTTGATAGGCTTTTAAAGTTCTGATTAATTTTGCATTTATTTGGCTTCTTCGATGATTTAAGGACTATATAGTATTAAAATTTTCAGAGCTTCCAATTTAAAGCATGGCTGAAAGCATTGATCAACTGTTTAAGATAAAAGAACAAATATAGTAACAGACATTCTCACTTCTTCTGTGAGAACTAAAATGGAGAAGTGGAATTTTGTTTGATGTAAATCAGTACAGACTTTCTAGGAAAACTAGTTGAGTCATGAAAGAATGATAAACTTTAGAAAAAGAAGGGTACAGGAGAATATTTTAGGTTGAGAAAGTGTGAGCTTAGCTAGAAAGTAAACTAAGGTGAAAGCACAAGAATCCTTTAAGGAAATCTTAATAGATTGGGCTATGTTAGGGTTGTAGTCCATTGGGGATATCTTTTACATTGGGAGTCAATGAGAATATCTACTAAGGGACTAATATAATTAGGTTGTAATATGAACAACTAGATTTGAATGCAGAGAATAAATCTAAGCTTATGTATTAATAGTCTAGGCCTGATATGGTGCTGACTTCTTCTGGGTAGAAAAAAACGAGGAAGGATGTAAAGGAAATTTCAAAGTACAACCCATAGCACTAGAAGATTGAAGAAAGGGGGGAGAAACAGACGTAGCTCAGCCCAAGACAATAAAAAGTGTAGAATTTCATGAGACATACCTGCATCTGATTAATCACCATTTATATTTGCTTTATACTTATTAGAATTTCTTGTACATTTTTAGAAAAAAAACTTTATTTTAACCACCCACCATGATTCACAGTTTTTCAATTTTGTCAGTAGCAGGGTTCCATTCATACAATATCCATACAATATTCCAATACCACACCCACCAGCAGAATACACATTTCATCCCACCATTTTCTGAGGGTCTCTTTACCCAAGAAAATTTAATATTGAGAATTATTTTTATACTCTAACTTTACATCTTTAGACTAATGTTTTTATTCTCATTCCCCTCCCCTACTTTATGTGTGACAGCTTCTGCTGGATATGGTTGGGTCTCCAGATCAGGATCTCCAAGAAGCCGCAGCTGGTTGTATAGCCAATATCCGCAGACTGGCACTTGCTACAGAAAAGGCAAGATACCCCTAAGCTCTGAATAGACATAAAGCCACTTTACCTGAGAACACCATGTCACTCCCATTGGCATGAAGCCTATACTGGGAAACTGTATGAGCCGAAACATTTATCAGGAAATAAATGTCTGAATGAAAGCACAGAAAAATGCAAAGGATGCTGTTTATACAAAATTGGCATAGCTTTTCTTGTTTCATTTACTCTTTTGGGGATATGCCATGAAGCAAAATGTAAGCCCAACAAATTTGTGATTATTTTCCAGGAATTTGAGTATATATGTATATAGTATATGCTTTTGTGTTTGGAATTGTTTTTAATAAAAGATATGGCCTTCCCGGTGTGCAGTTTTATAGTTGTTCATGAATTCCTTCTGTTAAACCTATCTAGCTGTTCTGTCATTATGGTTTTGTCTGTTTGATCACTTGAAACCCACTGGAGAGTTTTGAGGAGATGTGCTGATTTCACAAACTGTTATTAAATAGAATTTAGAGTAAAGCATCTGGACTTAGAGGGATCATTCGGAGGTCATTCCAAACTCCTCAATCCTATCAAAATCGAATAAGATAACATGGAACTGTTAACATATCAGCTTATGAAAAATCAAAAAATATTAAGTTTTTTAAACTTTGGAATTTGCAAAGCATGAAAAAATATGTTTTGTTTCTCTCAGAATACACCAACACTTTGATTGTAAGAATTAATTTTTGCTTTTGTAAGAGTAACATTCCTTCAAGTAAAATTATTTTGAATTTCTGAACTTGCTTTCAGCACACACAGTACTTTTTAAAAAGTGACTGCAAAAGACTAATAGCATTTTATCGGGTTATAGAAATGCTGGAACCCACTTAGAAGAATCACATATATAACTTCAGTGTGCTGAAATGTTTAGGAACTAACTGTCCTGAGTTTCTAATACTAGCCAGGAAAATAGTTTCATATGTATCAATTCCATAATGCCTTAAAAAAGCAGGCAAGCAGGTTTTATTGAAAAATATTAAGTACAGTGTATATTTGTCATAACTTGGAAAAGATTATAAACAAGTGAATTAAGTATAAATAATTTGTACAGAATGAATAGCGTGTACAGGATGTAAATTATACATTACAGATTCCCTGATTTAAAAAAAAATGGAAACCTCAATGAGAATTTTACAGTTTGGTAAAACATCCATCTTCAAGCTGCCTTTCAAAGGAGGTTATAAAAAAAAGTAAAAGAAATATTAATGCTAAGGACTAAATTTAAGTAATAGTGTAAATCTTTTAATAGTAATTATTTTAAGATTAAATTCACACTGTAGCTGTTTCTCTGACATGAAAAATATGTCTAGGGCCGGAGTGACGGTACAGAGGGTAAGGTGTTTGCTTTGCACGTGGTCAACCCGGGTTTGATCCTGGAACCCCATATGGTTCCCTGAGCACTGCCAAGTGCAATTTCTGTGTACAGAGCGAGGAGTAAGCCCTGAGCACCAGCAACAACAAAATACATTTAGAAACAGTTATGACAGCTATAGAAGATGAATAAACATATTATTATCTTATTATAAAAGGAAGCTTCTTGCTTTAAGATTTTAAAATATTTTTGAAATCAGTGGGCCTGGAAATAAAGGGTAACAACTGGGAAAAAACTAGCAACAGCACAAATAATTGAAGAAAGCATGGAAAATGGAAGAATATCCTTTAAAATTACACCTGGCATACATGAATAATAAATGCATAAAATAACTAGTGTCATTTCAAAAAATCTAAGCATTTACAAAGAGATAAAGAAAAGGGGAAAATCACCTTGTATACTGCCATGAATTTTATTAACATCAGGAATGTATTACATTTACAGTCAACATTTACATAAGCTAAAATTCAAGATTTCTTGGCTTATGCTTGTGAAATGAGCTTATGGAAAATTTGGATCTTACTGGAAAATCTCAGAACCAGTGGAAGAAGGACCCTATAAGAAACCAAAAAAAAATTACACAAAACATACCTCAATAGAATCAGGAAGATAGAAATAGTATCAACAATCTTTTCAGACCACGATGCACTGAGAACAGAAGTGAATCACACACAGGCACAGAGAACCAAATAAAACACATGGAAATTAAACAACTCAATGTTGAACAACGAGAGGGTCAGGAAAGAAGTCAAGGATGAAATCAAAAGATGCCTGGATACAAATGAGAATGTAGACATGACCTACCAGAACCTATGGAACACAGCTAAAGCCGTATTAAGAGGAAAATTTATAGCTCTGCAAGAATTTCTCAGGAAAGAACGAAAGTCCCACATAAACAACTTGACTTCACAACTCAAGATCTTAGAAAAGGATCAACAAAAGGAGCCCAAATCAGTCCTAAGGAAAGAGATGATAAAACTTAGAGCAGAAATCAATGACATGGAAACCAAAAAAAAAAAAAAATCCAAAAGATCAAGGAAACCAAGAGCTGGTTCTTCAAGAAAATAAACAAGATAGATAAACCACTAGCAAGACTCACAAAGAAAGAGAGAAAGAACCCTAATAAACTGAATCAGAAAGGAGAAGCAGGATATCACAACAGAAACCAAAGAAATTTAAAAGATCATCAGAGACTACTTTGAAAGTCTGTATGCCATGAAACAAGAGAACCTAGAAGAAATGGATAAGGAATTTGCCTTGTACGTGGCCAACCAGGCCAACCCGAGTTTGATTCCTCCGTGCCTCTTCGAGAGCCCGGCAGCTACTGAGAGTATCTTGCCCGCCCGGCAAAACCTGGCAAGCTAACCGTGATGTATTCAATATGCCAAACATAGTAACAACAAGTCTCACAATGGAGACATTACTGGGCCCGTTTGAACAACTCGATTAACAACAGGAGGACAGTGTGGCCAAACAGTGCTATAATCTCCCAAGGCTGAATCAAGAAGATCTAATGTACCTGAATAGATCTAGTAACATCTAGGAAATTGAAACTATAATCAAAAGTCTTCCCAAAAACAAAAGCCCAGGTCCACATGGATCCACTAGTGAATTTTTCCAAACATTTGAAGAGGACATATTGTCAGTTCTTCTCAAGCTTTTCTAGGAAATTGAAGAAACAGAAACTCACAAACAGTTGCTATGAAGCCCATATCTCACTAATACCAAAAGGAAACAAAGAAACTACAGGCCGAAATCCCTGATGAACACGGATGCGAAGATTCTCAACAAAATACTAGCAAATAGAATTCAACAACTCATCAAAAGATCACACACCATGATCAAGTGGGATTCATCCAGGAGAGGCAAGGATGGTTTAACATTAGAAAATCAATCAACATAATCTATCATATCTCTATCATATCAACAAAAGAAAAGATAAAAACCATATGATCATATCAATAGATGCAGAGAAAGCACTTGACAAGATCCAGCACCCATTTCTGATGAAAACCCTCACCAAAATGGGGATAGAGGGGACTTTCCTCAATATAGTTAAAGCCATCTACCACACGCCAACAGCAAGCATCATCCTCAATGGGGAAAAACTGAGAGCCTTCCCTCTAAGATCAGGGATGAGACAAGGATGTCCACTCTCTCCACTGCTGTTCAATACAGTACTGGAAGTACTTGCAATAGCAGTTAGGCAAGAAAAAGATATTAAGGGCATTCAGGTAGGAAAGGAAGAAATCAAGCTCTCACTATTCGCAGATGATATGATACTATACTTAGAGAACCCTAAAACCTCTACCCAGAAACTCCTAGAAACAATAGACTTGTATAGTAAAGTTACAGGACATAAAATGAATACCCAAAAGTCCATCGCTTTCTTATATGCAAATAGTGTGAGAGAAGAAAATGGCATGAAAAAAATCAATCAGTTCACAATTGTGCTCTTGAATATCAAGTACCTAGGAATCAGCTTAACTAAGGAAGTAAAAGACCTCTACAAAGAAAACTACAAAATGCTACTTCAGGAAATAAAAGAGGACATGAGAAACCCCCACAAATATCTAAAGCAATTTTTGGGAAAAAGAAACTGGGAAGAACCAACCTCCCTAACTTCAAAATCTACGACAAAGCAGTAATAATTAAAACAACATGATACTGGAACAAAGGCAGAGCTGCAGACCAATGGAAAAGGGTTGAATATACTGATATCTCCCCACAAACGAATGATCATCTAATCTTTGATAAGGGAGCAAGGAATGTGAAGTGGAGCAAGGAAAGTCTCTTTAGCAAATTGTGCTGGCAAAACTGGACAGCTACATGTAAAATAATGGGCTCAGATCTCTGCCTAACACCGTGTACAAAAGTAAGATCAAAATGGATTAAAGACCTCAACATCAGACCGAAATCCATAAGCTACAATGAAGACAAGGTTGGCAAAACCCTCCACGATATTGAAGGGAACAGTATCTTCAAAGATGTCACACCACTGGCCAAACAAGTGAAAACAGAGATAGACAAATGGGACTATCTTAAACTAAGAAGCTTCTGCACCTCAGAAGAAACAGTGACCAAAATACAAAGACATTCTACAGAATAGGAAAGGATATTTGCCCAATACTCATCCAACAAAGGGGTTGATATCAAGGATATACAAAGTACTGGTTGAACTCCACAAGAAGAAAATATCCAACCCCATAAAAAATGGAGCAACGAAATGAACAGCAGCTTTCTCAAAGAAGAAATCTGAATTGCAAAAGGCACAAGAGAAAATGCTCTACATCATTAATCATCAGGGAGATGCAGATCAAAACAACAATGAGATATCTTCTCACACCACAGAGACTGACCCACATCCAAAAGAACAAAAGCAACCGGTGTTGGTGCAGATGTGGCGAGGAAAGGGCCCTCCTTCACTGCTGGTGGATATGCCGACTGGTTCAGCCCTTTTGGAAAACAGTATTGACAAGTCTCAAAAAATTAGAAATTGAGCTCCATTTGACCCAGCAATACCACTCCTGGGAATATATCCCAGAGAGGAAAAAAAGTATAGTCTAAGTGACATCTGCACTTGTTTGTTCATTGCAGCACTGATTACAATAGCTAGAATCTGGAA